GCGCCTGCTCCCCCGGCCCCACCACTTCCTGCATCCTCACCGTCTCCACCCTATCCTCCCCACCCAACACTCCCGCCAAAAACCCCCTCAACTCCCCTTCCCCCACCGGGTACCCTTTCGAGAACGTCACGAACACCGTCCTCTCGTCGCGATCGCTCTCCACCCCACGGGCCGGGCCCGTTCCCGGGCCCGCGTCCTTGAGGTCGGCCACGAGCGGAGTGCAGACCTCACGGACGAGGGTCTGGACCTCGTTGCCCCTCCCGATGAAGAACTGGAGGGAAATGTCCCTCCGGCCCGCGAGGCTGTGGGTGAGGGGTATTTCGGTCATTATCGCGTCGGGGAAGAAGGGGGATTGGGGGTCGAGGCAGTTGAGGCACTCCACGGCCTCGTCAGCCAGCTGGTCCACTAGGAAGGGCGGGAGTGAGAGGGCTCGGCTCACGAAGTTGTAGAAGCCCAAGCGCTCGAGCCAGAGCCATAGGGCCAGCACGTTGAGGGACTCGGTTGGGTCGCGGAGGAGGTCAAAAGTGAGGAGGCAGTACAGGGCTCGGTCGATCGAGTGGAATTGACGGAACTCTTTCAGGGTCACAGTGTATTGGGTGCGGTCCATGATATGCTGACCTGGAAACCGCAAAATAAATAAATTTGGAATATGTGGCAAGTCTATATATGGAGAATCACTACACTCGTGATTATTATTAGCCTTTAGATACACATATAGATTAATGTAAGGTAGATAATTTACGGTTTAAACACTAACACATTGATGGAATCATTCCGTGGCAGGACTGTAGTCATTTTCCTGTATATGAGTCATTGGAATTGTGGAGATGATATAAATTAGTCCACTACCACTACCATCAACAGCAACAATAAAATGTAAACAATGTTGTCTTTGGAAGTTTAATTTCGAGTCCATGATGGAAATTCAGGAGGATCGAAACGTATACATGTTTGTGTCTATATGGGGAAAAATGAAAATTGAAATGGCTATAAACGAAGATCATAGTTAGTAAAAAATTTAGTACATGTCTATATGGATATAAATATCGTAAGGGGAGAAAGGAAACTTGAAATGGCTATAAAAGAAGAGCATAACTAGTAAAATTGATAGCGCCTATTGAAAAAATCTATCACTGTTTCCAGAATTAGCACATAACAGATCATTCAACAATTCATTTAAATGGCATTTATACAAATCGGGACGCTTCATGCTTGTTTGCGCAAACAAATTTTTCAAAACGAGCAGGTGATGGCACGCATTGCAGATTAATGTACTAAACTCAAGAAAACAATTGAACCTGAAGGACTGGAAATAATCCTCTGAGGCAAGACTCGTCTTTTCTAACGCGCAAACCTTTGCAGAGAAATGACCTGTTGAGAAATGTTTTATGGAAGATGAGGCAATGAAGTCTGTTCTTATCTCTGTTACGCGAAAAATTACAAAAGTGGTTAGTGAGATTAGGTGGATTCAGCTCATTAGAGAAATCACATTTTGGCATGTAGCAGTTAATGTTACAATGTGGATTACAGAAATAAGTCCCGAAAATGCGCATGATTTTTCATCGAGTCAAATCTGGCTTTGCAAAAAGATCGACACGCGTCATGCACGAGGAAGGCGATGAAAATAAAGAGCTCGAGTCATGAATTATGTGGCCAGAATTAGAGATTATGGTGAGAATGCCATAACATAAAGTCAAAAGCAAGTCTCATTTTTGCTTTTGTTCGGCAATGTCATGCGAAGGCCATGCATTTGGTTTACAGAGAAATTCGAGCAATGTAATTCATAACTTTAATAAAATAATCATATTCTTCAATTCCACACTGCAGGGCACCTCCTTAGAAGTTAGAGGATGAAAAATCTTTCTAAGAATTGCTAGAGCAGCTAACACTCCAATTTAGATTGATAAAAACACTATATATGGATCTTGAGTATGGATGTGCGGGGGAAAAGTCATTCATGTTTGCCTAGGAATAGTTCTCTAAACCAAGATTATCAAAATCAGACCAGCCATCGAACCAGTAAAGCTATAGTCAATACTCGGATAAATGGTTGAACCAGTTGGATCGATAGTTAATTTATTATTATTTTTAATAACTATATTGTAATTTAGATAACATATTTTTTATATATAAACATCATTAGTTAAATATTTAGATAAATTAAAGCAAGCAAATGCTTAAACTAATTGACACATGGACAAAATATTTGATGTGTATTATTTATATAAAAAATATGAAACTAAATTTACAAAATAAAAAATAAAAAAATTTTGAACCGATCCAACCGGCCAGGTTTTGGCCAGTTCAATCTTACCCGATTTTTACGATGTGGTTCTAAACACATCAGCTCGTTGGATCCTATTTGGGCAGGAGTACCATACTATCAACAAAGGGGTGAAAAAATTGTCCGTTTTGAGTTAGTACTCTCAGTGAAGGGGAGATGTTACTAGCCATGCTTCAGGCCAGACAAAGTTGATAACGTAAACCCGACCCTAATGTGCCTTGGCTCGTAAAGTGGCTCACTGGTTGCTCTGGATAAATCGTAGCTAACGTGGCAGAAGACGGTGTTAATGACTCGCCGACTATGAATAAAGAAGGTGAGTCATTCTTTCAATTTGAAGCAACGTACAAGAAATTGGAGGAGATGCTTACAATTAATAAAAGGTGACACCGGCAACAGGAACAGATTCCTTACTTTCATTAGCTATACATTCAATATCTGCTAGTGGTTTTTTTTTTTTTTATTATTATATATTATTATTGTTGTCGTCATCGTCTCCTCCATGGATTTTCATGTTTTCTTTTCTTTTCTTAAGGAGTACAAAAATGTCAAAATAACCATTCGTATTTGGCTATAGTTTTATTCATTTTATCAAAAGACATTCTTTTATTTATTACGGACAAACATATTCTTCGCAGCAAATGTATAATGTCAAAAGAAACTGAAGTATATATTCTAACCAACAATTTTACCTTGATAAAAAGTATTTTATAAAATTATTGTAGCAAAGGTAATATGTCAATCAATGCACTTGTACAGTTTTGACCAAATCCATTACTAAAATACAATCAATTTGGTTATTAGTGGATAGCGACTATATTAAAACATAGCAGACGACTAATTGCATTAGTCTTTTCGGGAAAGACCAACTGTATTAGCTAGCTAATGTAACTAACAAATTGTATTAGTTGTTTATAATGAGTGTTTGTTTGTACAACTTTTTTGGAAACCTCTTTTTTGGAAACCTCATGTTGTCGTGTTAATTTATCAATCCCCCTACCCAAAATACTAATCTATCGAGTTTTTCAGACTTAACCCAAATAAGATATGTCATGTTTGACTATTAGCTAATAGTAAATTGTAATAGTTGATTTGATTAGCAGATAGTTAATTAATTGTAATAGCAAACATTAGCTAATAGTAAATTGTAATAGTTGATTTGATTAGCAGATAGTTAATTAATTGTAATAGTTGATTTGATTAGTAGATTGTATTAACTGTATGTAAATAACTATTTGATAAATAACAAATTGTATAGCTATTTCCGAATTTTATATTGATGTTATTGTACGAATCATCGCTTGTCAAAATGTACTTATACTGAGCTTTTTCAACTTTTTCAAAATTAATGTTGTAGGCTAAAAACAGCTAATCAACCAAGCTCTTTACAAACAAGTAAGTTATATACCAAACAAACTAGTTGGTGGATTTGACAAGTTAAATCTCTAATTGACGTTCAATCCGCTAATTCAATACTAATCCGCTATTATCCAAACAAGAATACATCCTGAATTCTGCTTAAAGCATGAAAAGGGAAACAAAGAATGTCCAGAACCAAGTGAATGCACATGAGCCAAAGAAAAACTTGATGGAAACTCACTATTAATAACTAAAAATTACTGGTCCAGCTGCAATGCCGGTTCAGCTTGCTCACGCGGTGTTTGAGACTTTAAAGACGCAATTTTCTTCTGCAGTTCTAGATTTGACATGTGCTCGGCCTCCAAAGCACGCTCCAGCTGCATGTCCAGCAAAATTAGCAAGTTCAAATTGTGTGGAAAGAAATGAATTTTCCCACATATGAAATATGCACAAAAGTTTTTT